GAGCCATGAAACCCCTTTGAAATGCCTCCTGCACTCCCTGGAAAGCCAGAGCATCTCATTTTTATGCCATTCTCAGATGTAGACAGTTTTTGCTACTGCAATGGTAAATGGTCAGAAGTCTGTTTACTTTCAGGTTCTCTTTGCTCTCTCTCTGCCAGTCATGTCCAACTTTCCCTATCCCCTCCCTTTCTCTTTTCTACATTTTGGCTTGTGCCCTGAAGAGTGCGATGCAGGCTCGGTCCCGGGGCCTCCCCTCTAGGTTCCCTCTCAAAGGCTAGCCAATGTAGGCTTGATCTATTTGTTCAGGGTTTCTTTGCATTCTTTCAGAAATTCGCCATCTTGAGTTCACCATCTTAGCCACATGGTGGGTTAAGGGTTTGGCCCCATCTGACCCTTAACCTTCCACCAAGCTTACCACTCCATCCATCTATTCTAAGGTGCCTTGCTAACAAGTTGCTCTTTTCACAGGCCCTGGTAACTGAGGCCCAACCATCTGATATGCTTTGTTAGCAAAGATGTCTACACATTGTTATAAAAAATTTTAAGTTTTGGGCTGGGAAGGTGGCTCAGTGGTAGAGCGCTTGCCTTGCATGCTTGAGGCCCTGGGTTCGATTCCTCAGCACCACATAAGCAAAGAGAAAAAAGCCGGAAGTGGCGTTGTAGCTCAAGTGGTAGAGCGCTAGCCTTGAGCTGAAGAGCAGAGGGACAGTGCCCAGGCCCAGAGTTCAGGCTCCACGACTGGACCCCCCCCTCAAAAAAAAATTTAGGTTTTGAGTTTTGCCTTTTTTGTTTTGTGTTGTGTATTCTACTACTGACTACATGGTTCTAAAATTCTGGGCCTATCTGTGTTAAAATTCTCATCACATCTAACAAGTTTTGTCATTGCAGAATGTTTGTTAGTCAATTCTTGATAAGGACCAGGTAAGCTCTATTCTATTTGATCTCCTTGTTGCTTTAATTGGAAATAATAAAGGGCTTTTGTGGCAAAGATTGCAGTTCAAAGCCAGCCCAGGCTGAAAAATCCCTTAAGACTCCATCTCCCAACTAACCTGCAAAGAGCCAGGCTGGAAGCATGCACTGCAAGTGGTACTATAACTTAACATGGTAGAGCACTAGTCTTGAGCAGAAGTGCTCAGGGACAGTGCCCAGGCCTTGAATTCCAACCTTCTTGAATACCAACTGGGACAAGCCATCCCAGCAACGAGTACCTAGACTCAGCCAGTCAGGGAAACAAGGGACCATGGAGAGAAGTAAGAGGAGATGATGTCACATCAGCAACTTTGTGCTTGCCCTTTCAAAATTAACCAGAGCCGGAGGTCAATAGAAGTAAGTAGCCTGCCCATCTAGTATCCATACCTGTCTACCTATTAACTGGACAGGAATTTATATTCTTGACTTTGTTACCTGACTTCTCCTCTACCTAGTCACCAGATGTCAGAAGTAGCTAGGGACATTTCTACCAACATTTTTCAGCCCCAAGTCCTTCCTCTTGCCATTTATTTGCTCTCTAGTATTTTTTTCCAGCCCCTCAATGCCTCATGAGACTTCTCCAGACTTCATCTAAGGACTCATGCCACCAAGGGACAGCTGCTGCTAGCTGCCTTCTCTGGGAGGGGACTAAATTCCAGCAGTTTGCCCCTATTGTCAACACCCCTTTTCAGCAGGAAGTAGCCAGAGAGAATCCATGCCTATTTCATGATTATTAAAAGGCTGGAATGTAAGGTCAGCTCTTGGATGGCAAGCAGACTCCACCCTCCTTGCAGCAAAGACTCCACCCAGTATCTGCGTTACTTAGGCAAATGGCACACCTGGAAGAGGTCACATCTGAATTTGATGTGGCCACAGCTTTCTCTGCCCATACCCTAGGTAAGGCCTAGCCCAGGCCCAGATACTCTCTTTCCCAGCTCTCTCTTTTCCAGCTCTTACTCTTTCCCAGCTCTGTCTCTTTCCCAGCTCTTTCTTTCCCACCTCTCTTTCCCAGCTCTTTCTCTTTCCCAGCGCCCTCTCCTTCCCAGGTCTCTTTCCCAGGCCTTTCCCAGCCCGTGGAGGGCCAACATGGCCTGGTGCCAGCCAGAATGATGAATAAACCTACCACTTACCTGCATACCACGTGTGTGGTGCTGTTCTTACTCGCCTACCTCTTTAAAAAAAAAACCTAACACTCACCAAAGCTATGTTTTTAATGTCATTCATAGAATTTTGGTTTTCCTATCTGTCTTGTCTCCTTGTTTGGAAAGATGCACAATCAGTTCTGCTACTGATGACACCATATTCCCCCAGTCTTTTAACTTTCATCTTTGAAGCATTCTCCTCCTGCTTTAACTATAGTAATGATATCACTGTATCGTTTTCTGGAATCCATTGTTCTAAATACCATAATCCAATCACAAATTTATCTGGAATAGGGAGATTGGTAGTCCCTATACTACCAAATATTCAAAAATACATCTTGTGGTTTGGGCTTGTATTTGATTTTCTGAACCTTTTCATGATAGGATATTGAATCACAAACTTTGTAAGATACTGGGGAGTTCTTCATATTACCTTTCTGGTCAATTGAAATTGAATACCTAAGAAAGGCTTAGGTATTCCTTAGTACACTAAGGAAATTGCATATGTATCTTTGGCTTTTGCTATTATAATTTCATGCCAGCTCATGAAGCAGCCTTCACAAAACCCTGCTTATTTATTTAAATCTAGTAGATGGTTCTATTGCACACAAAGAAGAAAGATCACATGAACTGGCAGCTCAAGTAGGGAGAAAAGGGACAACTTACATAATTAAATACATTATATTATAAACATTTATAGTTTATATGAATTTATATAATTGTATACTTATAATTACTTAGTTCTATAAATGTATAAACAGCTATTTCTATCAATTTTACAATTTATAAATATAAATTATAATGTTATTATTCACCTGTGCAGCATTTAATACAATTTCAATATAAACTTATTACTTAAGATCTGGTGAAATGATTTGTAACCAAGATACATATTTTGAAAACAACTACATGTAAACAGAATAAAATGAAAAGAGAAGATACAGAGTCATATACAAAAGGAAAACATTGAGTGTTTCAAAATATCTTGTTTTGATCATTTTATTCTGATCATTTGTGTACATAATTCTTCAATGCCTATACATGTTTAACATACATTCCTTAATCCTCTGTTATCATCAATATCTCTTAGATAAGAAAAGTGACATTCGGGGCTAGTAAGGTGGCTCAGTGCTAGAGTGCTTGCCTTGCATGCATGAGGCTCTGGGTTCGATTTCTCAGCACCACATAAACAGAAAAATCTCCAAGTTGTGCTCTGGCTCTAGTGGTAGAGCACAAGCCTTGAGCTTAAGAGCTGAGGGACAGCACACAGGCCCACCCAGAGTTCAAGACCCATAACCAAAAAAAAAGAAGAAAAGAAAAGTGACATTTGTATGCTTTGAGCTATAGCTAAGGAACCAAAGGAACCAAAGGCAGGATACAGTTATTTACATACTCAGATTCACTGCAATGCTGTTCACAGCAGACAAGTCATAGGATCAGCCCAGGTGCCCTTCAGAGGATGCCTAGACAAAGACAAGGTGGTGTACACATACATATCTCTCAGGTCAATCAATGTTACTGCAATAGAACTACATAATAATGCCCTTTAATGGCTTAGTGCAGTTCATTCACTCCATCATTTAAAAACTGGTTAGGACTCAGGCGCTGGTGGCTCACGCCTGTAATTAGTAGAGTGCTCACCCTGAGCTCAGGGACAGAGCCCAGGCTAAGACCCACAACTAACAAAAAATAAATAAATAAAATTGATTCAATCACGGATGGTAGACTAATTCTGCCTAATAACACTGGTAACTTGTGACTACACAGTGATTGAAATGTGGTGAGGCCAAGAAACTTCTGCAATTCTGTCTCTACCATATTTCGGATAAATAAATAAATGAGGAATATCTCATGTTTAACTTCATCTAATTTCTTAATGTGGCTATTAAATTTAAATTACGGGTGTTCTCATATTTCTACTGAACAAGGCCATCCTAAGACAGACACAGGAGACACAGTCCAGCCTTAAAGGTGATGTTCACTACAGCTAATGAAAACAACAAAAATCATATGCATACATGAATAAACACACTAATATATATGTGCTATCAAGTATCTGTATAAACAACATAAACAACTGCATAGAGATGGTTTCCATGTTCATGGACACTTCTGTTAATAAGATAACTGCTATACAATTTAACTATTAATGCTAGCTCTGTTTTATAGAAAAAGCCAGAAGTGGCGCTGTAGCTCAAGTGGCAGAGTGCTGACCTCGGCGAAAGCTGAAGGCCCAGGATTGGCACAAAAGAAAACAAACACACAAAAGTGGCTCAAGCCTGGAACCATAGCTACTGCGGATCAGGGTTTAAAGCCAGCCCCGGGAGGAAAGTCTGTGACACACACACACACACAGCCCCGGGAGGAAAGTCTGTGACACACACAACAGCCCCGGGAGGAAAGTCTGTGACACACACACACACACAACCCCGGGAAGAAAGTCTGTGACACGCGCGCACACACACACAGCCCCAGAAGGAAAGTCTGTGACACACACACAGCCCCGGGAGGTAAGTCTGACACACGCGCACGCACACACGCACTGCGCGCGCACATACACACGCGCGCACACACACGGGAGGGGAAGGGAGAGCGTGGGTACTGGCAGCCGCAGGCCCGGCCTAGCCCTGGCTGGCCGCGTCCGGGACAGACGCGGAGGGCGGGGCCGGGAGCCCGCAGGCGGGGAAGGCCGCACTCGGCCCCGCGTCCCCGGAGGGCCCGTCCTGCCTTCGGGTCACCGCACTTCCGCCCCTTATGTGTTACATTGACAGACGTCCGCCGTCCCCCAACCGGGCAGCCCCGGCGGCTTCCCACCCCGCCTCTTCCGCAACGCTCCTACGCACGCGCGACCGGAACATTCGCGAAGGTTCCTGAAGCCGCACCGGCGGTTTCCGGAAGCCGGTACCGCCCTCTCCGTCAGTCGGAGTCCCGCGGCAGGGGAGTGGAGGTCGCGCCGTGAGCTGTCGCCGGTCCCAGGCCTTGGGAGAAGACAATGGCCTTGCTTTGCTACAACCGGGGCTGCGGCCAGCGCTTCGACCCCGAGGCCAACGCGGAAGGTAAGAGCCGCGCCCGGGCCTGGCCGCGGGAGGCCCTGGGCG